AACGGTGCAGTTAACGTTACTGTATAGCGCCACTATTTGTGGCGTTATATATAATTTGGTAACCTTTTTTTTTTTATACTTATTTGAGTATTTTGAGTAAAAATAAACCACATTTTGGTTCCGCACTCTTTGATGGACACCTTCAAGAACAACATATTTATCATATAATTTGAAAAAGGAAAGAAAAAGATTAAAAAAATTAACAATTTTTAAATTGGAAAAAAATGTGATTATACCATATCTGATCTTACAAAGATCAGAGTAGCTTTTGATCATTAAACTCCTTATTTGGAGTAACAATCAATGACAAAGTTATTCTTTAATGCATGATGCAACAATGTACTACCAAAATCATGAAGTTAGTTATTATGATGCGACAACAAAGGAGAGAAATCATAAAGTTTGTTAGAATACTCCAGAAAAATAAAGAAATTAGAAAGGAACTTTAAAACATCAAAGAGCAAGGGCGGATGGTGTTTCGCACAACCTTATACCTTTGGCCCAACTCATGTATATATGTTAAAGAAATTTATTAAATATATATAAAATGTAAATTTAGGACTTAGTTATTAGTTCTTCTATTTTAATTTGTTTGAATCTTTTTTTGGAGTACGAGGGTCAAATTGACTAATTTTCGACGTAAATTTGAACATAGATTCTTTAATTTTTTAAATAAAATTTATATATTTAAAAATTATATAAAAACTAATATAAATCATAATAGGCAGCAATTCAAAATATTTAAAAACTACTTACAAATAATATGATCAAAATAAACTTTCTTTGACTCACCAAATAATAACATATTCATTCTTTTTTAAATAAAGAAAATAATATTTAAGATAGCCGTTCTAATCAGAACTCATAAAATATTAAATTTTGAATCGACTATATCGAGTGATTTTATTTTGTGTCTCACACAACTGGTATCAAGTGTGTGACCTCTTTTTATCTCATATATTTGTGAACCTACATCTTACATATCTGGGTCCATAAAATTTTAGGATCCACACAATTATAAGATTAAAAAAAAATCTCACTTTATACCTATTAGGCCCAAACTATTTACCTTTTAATACCCATCCCCAAACTATTTACCCTGCCTACCCAGTCGGCCCAATCTATTTACCCGGCCCCGGCCCAATCTACCCATCTCTCCCTTATCTTCGATCCAGCCCACTCTGCCCATTATTCCCACGTTTTCCTTCTTTCTCTATCAGTTAACAAAGTACACTTTCCATAACTCCATAGCCAACAGATGAGAACGCAAAAGTGAAACACATTCGAGTTGTAATTTTTTTCTTCCGATTCCATTCTATCTCTTCGTCTAGTACCTAATTTTGGGTGACATTTTTGCTTTGGTGAATTTTTTGCTTCTGAAAGTACATTTTAGTGAAAGTGGGTTTTCAAAATCATAGGATTTTTATGTTTTCCTTTGTACTTTTGTGAATTAATGTCTATGGGTTGTTGTTTTCTCTATGGGTCGGAAGAGTTGTGCGCGTAGATGGTGGCGCTTTGGACAATATCATTCTTCAAAAGAAGTAGTTGCTGAATCCGTTGCCTCAGCCATGTCTGGGCCTAGTTTTTTCTTATTTTCTGATTCTCAGTCTCCACTTAGTCGTAACCCTAGCAGTAGTTATGTTGAAAACACAACTGAAAATGTAGAATTAGAGGGTGGAAAAGGCAAAAATATTAATGTCGCGTCAGTCGATGAAACTCCCTACCTGTCATTACCCGACACAAATTCCGAACCAGTCATAGGAGATGTTCCTGTGACTGATAAGGGAAAAGGTAAAGTTGTTGAGGATTCTGAGTTAGGGGGAAGCCGACGTGAATTCGTGCCTGAAACAGAGACTCAACCAGTAGATGTTGATTGTAGCGATGATTCTCAATTAAAGAAGAGAAAAATTGGTGTCGCACCCAAGAAGGTAATTTTCTTACAATTATGATCTTTGCGATTTTTAATGTATAGTACATTGTTATTTTTTGATTTCTTATTATGCTTTTGTATTATATTATAGTTATAGTCAGTTGTGTTAATTTTTTGAATTAAATAGACAGATTAAATTAATGTTCTGCTTGAGGTTTAAAAAAATGGTCGCTGATTCACTAGTG